GCTGTGTCTCTCTCTACATGAGTGTCACTGTTAGTCTACAGCTGTCTCCTGTCTCGCTGTGTCTCTCTCTACGTGAGTGTCACTGTTAGTCTACAGCTGTCTCCTGTCTCGCTGAGTCTCTCTCTACGTGAGTGTCACTGTTAGTCTACAGCTGCCTCCTGTCCCGCTGTGTCTCTCTCTATGTGAGTGTCACTGTTAGTCTACAGCTGCCTCCTGTCTCGCTGTGTCTCTCTCAACGTGAGTGTCACTGTTAGTCTACAGCTGCCTCCTGTCCCGCTGTGTCTCTCTCTATGTGAGTGTCACTGTTAGTCTACAGCTGTCTCCTGTCTCGCTGTGCCTCTCACTTCGTGAGTGTCACTGTTAGTCTACAGCTGTCTCCTGTCTCGCTGTGTCTCTCTCTACGTGAGTGTCATTGTTAGTCTACAGCTGCCTGTCCCGCTGTGTCTCTCTCTATGTGAGTGTCACTGTTAGTCTACAGCTGTCTCCTGTCTCGCTGTGCCTCTCACTTCGTGAGTGTCACTGTTAGTCTACAGCTGCCTCCTGTCTCGCTGTGTCTCTCTCTACGTGAGTGTCACTGTTAGTCTACAGCTGCCTCCTGTCTCGCTGTGTCTCTCTCTACGTGAGTGTCACTGTTAGTCTACAGCTGCCTCCTGTCTCGCTGTGTCTCTCTCTACGTGAGTGTCACTGTTAGTCTACAGCTGCCTCCTGTCTCGCTGTGTCTCTCTCTACGTAGTGTCACTGTTAGTCTACAGCTGTCTCCTGTCTCGCTGTGTCTCTCTCAACGTGAGTGTCACTGTTAGTCTACAGCTGCCTGTCCCGCTGTGTCTCTCTCTATGTGAGTGTCACTGTTAGTCTACAGCTGTCTCCTGTCTCGCTGAGTCTCTCTCTACGTGAGTGTCACTGTTAGTCTACAGCTGTCTCCTGTCTCGCTGTGTCTCTCTCTACGTGAGTGTCACTGTTAGTCTACAGCTGTCTCCTGTCTCGCTGAGTCTCTCTCTACGTGAGTGTCACTGTTAGTCTACAGCTGTCTCCTGTCTCGCTGAGTCTCTCTCTACGTGAGTGTCACTGTTAGTCTACAGCTGCCTGTCCCGCTGTGTCTCTCTCTATGTGAGTGTCACTGTTAGTCTACAGCTGTCTCCTGTCTCGCTGAGTCTCTCTCTACGTGAGTGTCACTGTTAGTCTACAGCTGTCTCCTGTCTCGCTGTGTCTCTCTCTACGTGAGTGTCACTGTTCGTCTACAGCTGCCTCCCGTGTGATGTAAGGAAAAAAGTTTAGCTGGAAGCATATTATATTTTTTTGCGACATAGAATTGTAATGTATTACTTACTGTTAGTAGTTCAGCTTATCGGAGAGTATATTTAGTATACTGATGATACTATGAAGTTTATACTTTAGATTTTTTACGTGGTTGTTTAGTTACTGCAGCTACATACTATTAACATTCCTACCCTTTATTAATGCTACCCATATTCCCCTCCCTTTGATGCTGCTAATCCTGCATAATGCACGGGCATAATGACTTTGAAAACCCCCCATCCACCTCCTACGCATTTCACAAGTAGTACTAATCACATACCTGCATTTCCCATAAATATGCTAAATTCCTCTTGATATGAAAATTATTTTGTCAAGGCGCCCTTCCTCCCATCCAACCCAGCTTAAATATACGCTCCAAGCATGGTGGTGTTTCATTTTGCTTCCTCTTAGTATCTTTCACTCGACGGTCAATGGTATAGTGTATAGCAGATTGTATAATAATAAATAGTATAAAATTGTAATGTTTAATACAATGTATAAGGCAATATATAGTATCGTAATTGTATAGTGAATATACAGCAGTGTGAAAAACAGTAGGGTGAATAGAATAATATATAGTGTAATATTACACTATGTATTATTCTAAGGTATAGTGTGGTGTATAGTAATACAGTATGTAATTTAATGTTGGGTTTGTCTATGGCAGCATATAGTACGAGGTAGACCTGTGTGATGTCAGGGAAAAAAGTCTATCTGGAAGCATATTATATTTTTTGCGACATAGAATTGTAATGTATTACTTACTGTTAGTAGCTCAGCTTATTGGAGAGTATATTTAGTATACTGATGATACTATGAAGTTTATACTTTAGATTTTGGCGTGTCTATGCACAAATAAGGTTTAGGAAAGAAGCAGGAGTGACGTCACGCGGAGACACGTGGTTACAATGCGTCACGAGCGGGGGACACCTCCTCACTGGCGTTGGGCGCCGATGACGTCAGACCGAGATAACGAGGACCGAGATAACGAGAGCCGGGTCGTGAGAGGGCGAATGTCTTGAGAGTTTAACGCTTTTGCGACCAATGTCGTCCATGATACAGGCCTTTTGGGATAGATCGCGTAAACATCTAAATGTGTCGTTAACCCCGCCACCACCACCCGACACAGCTGTGGGGGCTGATGCCCCCTCCCCGCAAGGGGGCGGGGCGCGAAGTCCGCCCCCTCCACCCGGCCCCCTCCTCGGCCGCGTCTCGCTGGACCCCCCGGGCGCGCTGGTGCGGGGGGGGACCGCCCCCCCCCCCCCGCACCAGCGCCTGTCGGACACCGCCTAGGGGGTTATTGCACGTGCGCCCCCCACAACACGTGCGCCCCCCACAACACGCGTGCCCCCCACAACAAGCGCGCCTGCACTCGCGAACCGCGCCAATCACGTAACACTTTAAATCTCCGCTCACAGCTGTCGGGATCTAATTAATGACTCTGCGCACTCACGCAACGTCCCCCACCCCCGGCCGGGCGTGGTGCTGACCACCCACCTCCTCGTGTGCCGTGCTGGCCTTCAGAGGTGCTCGCTAACAACACTTGCCCCAACAGTCTGTTAAGGCTATACGGGGGGGGGGGGGGTCTTTGTCTTTGTGGATGAGTGAGTGTGATTGTAGAATTCTTCGGGTCTCAGCTCAATGGAGTTCACTCGGGGAATGAACTTTTTCGGATTCTGAAATAAACGTGTGCGAGTGTTTAGTGGGGTGCATGTGAGTGTTTAGTGGGGGTGCATGTGAGTGTTTAGTGGGGGTGCATGTGAGTGTTTAGTGGAGGTGTGCGTGAGTGTTTAGTGGAGGTGTGCGTGTGTTTAGTGGGGGTGCATGTGCGTGTTTAGTGGGGGTGCATGTGAGTGTTTAGTGGGGGTGCATGTGAGTGTTTAGTGGGGGTGCGTGTGTTTAGTGGGGGTGTGTGTGTTTAGTGGGGGTGCATGTGTGTGTTTAGTGGGGGTGCATGCGAGTGTTTAGTGGGGGTGGCGTGTGTGTGTTTAGTGGGGGTTCATGTGAGTGTTTAGTGGGGGTGCATGTGAGTGTTTAGTGGGGGTGCATGTGAGTGTTTATTGGGGGTGTGCATGTGTTTAGTGGGGGTGCATGTGAGTGTTTAGTGGGGGTACGTGCGTGTGTTTAGTGGGGGTGCATGCGTGTGTTTAGTGGGGGTGCATGTGTGTTTAGTGGGGGTGCATGTGAGTGTTTAGTGGGGGTGCATGTGAGTGTTTAGTGAGGGTGAGTGTTTAATGGGGGTGCATGTGAGTGTTTAGTGGGGGTGCATGTGCGTGTTTAGTGGGGGTGCATGTGAGTGTTTAGTGGGGGTGCATGTGAGTGTTTAGTGGGGGTGAGTGTTTAATGGGGGTGCATGTGCGTGTTTAGTGGGGGCGCATGTGAGTGTTTAGTGGGGGTGCATGTGCGTGTTTAGTGGGGTGCATGTGCGTGTTTAGTGGGGGTGCATGTGCGTGTTTAGTGGGGGTGCATGTGAGTGTTTAGTGTGGGTGCATGTGCGTGTTTAGTGGGGGTGCATGTGCGTGTTTAGTGGGGGTGCATGTGCGTGTTTAGTGGGGGTGCATGTGCGTGTTTAGTGGGGGTGCATGTGCGTGTTTAGTGGGGGTGCATGTGCGTGTTTAGTGAGGGTGCATGTGAGTGTTTAGTGGGGGTGCATGTGAGTGTTTAGTGGGGGTGCATGTGCGTGTTTAGTGGAGGTTAATGTGCGTGTTTAGTGGGGGTGCGTGTGCGTGTTTAGTGGAGGTGCGTGTTTAGTGGGGGTGCATGTGCGTGTTTAGTGGGGGTGCGTGTTTAGTGGAGGTGCATGTGCGTGTTTAGTGGGGGTGCGTGTGAGTGTTTAGTGGGGGTGCACGTGCGTGTTTAGTGGGGGTGCATGTGAGTGTTTAGTGGGGGTGCATGTGAGTGTTTAGTGGGGGTGCATGTGTGTGTTTAGTGGGGGTGCATGTGCGTGTTTAGTGGGGGTGCATGTGAGTGTGGAGGTGTGCGAGGAGAGAGCAGCGCCGGCCGAGTTTCTCCGCTACGGTTGCACCACAGGAACATTCTGTGGAAACTATTTCCAGTGATGATTGTTGACAACAATTGCTATGAAATCTTCGCAGTCGATCACAGCCTATGAGGTGTGGTCTTGGTCGTGAAGTCTGTTGTGCTGACGCTACCGACGGCAGTATCGTGCTCTTATTCTGCCCTCGGCTTCTTGTGGTGCTCACAAGGGGCCGGCATTCCACCCCACTCCCTTCCCAGCAACTCAACTACTCTCATTGCGAGGCCACTATTCGATTCCGGATCATATAATTTGTATGGTCTTGTTATCATTCGTATTGTTTCTCAATTATTCTCCGTTTAACGATGAAATGTAATAACTTATTAAGTTTTGTGTGCTCTGTTAGCTGCGGTCTCGCGTGGTAGGGGTGGCTCGCAAACCAACCTGCCGCACCGGTGTCACTTTGACCAATCACCACCATGGGCCTAAATGTCAAATATATTGAAATAATAACTTCTCACGCATGCAACTCGGCGCTTTTATCAGCTGCATATCGCGTGGCGTGATTACCAATCGTGCAGTTAGGGTCGAAGCTAGTTTTGTTTTGTTTATTAAAGTTGGGGCCTGGTCCGGTCGGCCCAAGTGCGTGTCGAGTCGGGCTCTGCTCGGTTCGGGGTACTGCTGGTGCCACCACGCTTGTGAAGCCGGCACTGGTGTCTCTCCGCAGCTCGAGCGAGCGCTACGAGGAGGAGATGACAGTGCGAGCCGAGGCTCTAGTCAACTCCGGCAGGCGGCTGGTACAGAGGTACGAGCAGGAGAAGAGCCGTCTCGCCGACGGGCTGCTCCACCCACGCTTGCACGGATGGCCGGATGACGTCGCGGTCACCGAACGGCCAAACCACCAACCCGACGGACGACCCCCACCCGACCGCCAGCCCACGGGTACCCCCACCGAGTAAATGACCCAACACGCATCATCCTGACACACTGACCAAATAACTTACAGACCGATAATTCGCCACCCCATCCTATGACCCAATAAAATACTTTCGCAACAATATATATGAACCCGACACCCGACTTGCCCACCCTCTGACTCTATAAGACACCGAGGCCAATACAATACACCGACTTGGTGAAACTCTGACCCATCAATCGACTCATTTGACTTCGAGCCTATCCACTGGATCACCAGCTGACCTACTGATCCAATAAACACTCAAACCTGGTAACTTACTGACAAAATACTGATCCACCAAATGACCCTATAACCTTGCCAGCTAGGCTCAGACTCACGACCAGCTGATCTAATAATCCAAAAACCCACTGTCCCACCAGGCTATCCCCGCTATGAAGGAGGGACCGGTATTATAAATTAATGTTGTGTTTTTGTTCCGCGTTTAGGCACCACTGCCATTACTTGGCCATAAACGTGTTTAAGCCCAGGAGTGTCTGTGCACTCATCTTTCCCAAATGGAAGCTGCTCGTGGTGGAGGCAACATGTCACGTCTGGCAACGCAAAACTAGTTTAGCACCGATGGATTTGACTTAAACCACTCGTGCACAAGACCAGTTGAAAAATTATCCTGACATTTTTATAAATTAATAGTCACCGTGAGGAGGGTAGTTCCTTAAACAGCATGCTCGAAGTGGTCGAGTGGCACGGACGTATGTTCTCCTGTACGTGCATTCCACGTAGTTATGTTCTCCTGTAAACGAGGGCTACTCCTCGGAAAATGTGCACAACGCACGCTGCGCTCCCACGGTTTCATCTTTACATGTCACAGCGATCTGCAGGTTCTGCGCTTGTTTAGCTTGAGGCTGTAGTCATCGCCGCGATGCCGCGAGGGAGTCTGCTGAGTGAGCTCCTGCGGCCCGTTATCAATCGAAGGCTCGCGTTGCCGAGCCACGTGTCGCCAGGCTCGATCGGAACACGACGGTGGCTGGGAGGGCTCGGCGGGTTGTTTAAAGTTCTTGGGAGACACCGCAATGGGGGATCAACGTAGGCTCGGAATGAACTTAGCAAAATTATATGACTTGAGAGAGAAGGCTGCAGATGTGTGCGTCGTTGTCTCGTTACCAGCTTTTGTTGAACACTTGGGTGTCATGTGGAGCATTTCATAATTCTCGCGACAGACTGCAAAGGCTGAAGTGGAATTCCTCACACATCCGACACGACACAATATACGCACAGACACACGTAAACTTTACCCCCTGTATTTCCAATATTCCTATAACCGTGCTCGATTCAAGACACTTATTATCTCTTTATCGGTGACACCTTTAATAGTCATGTTTTTTGCTGGCTGTTTTGTGTGTGTGGGTCTTTGGGGCTGTCTGATGAACAAAAATAAAATTAGTTCCTTGGGTGTTATCCCCTCCATATACGTAGGCTTTGTTCGGGCACTCCAGTTTCCTGCCACACACGACGACCAATTCAGCTCCTGCCCTCAGGACCCTCTTGGAAATGCAGCTTGAGACCACCAATCACTCCACTGCCACTCCCCCAATGCAGGATACTGCAGCATGCGTCAAAAATAAAATCCATTCCAGTCATTCTCAGCACAACAACGGATGAAGGCCCTTCCCGTACGTCGCGTTAACAATGGGGGTCATTTGATAATGTTTCACCACGCTGGTGAGTGCGAGTGCAAAATTAATCCCGGTGTAGCGATCCAGAGCGTTCCGACTGAAAGTAAACATTGAGCATCGTGATGGAGAGAAAGAGCAGTCTAATCACGGGAGAAGAAGGCGCGATGAAGGGACCACTCCTACCCCTTGTAGCAAGCCACCCTCCCTTATCACGCTTATTGATACTTCTCCACTGTTCCAGGCGGTGTGGGCCAGGTCTTCACGAACCGGCTACCCTTATGCTGCCCCCTGCTGGCGTGGGGTGGCGACGCCTGTTCATCACCCAAATTCGGAGGCCTCATTCCCCGCCGTTCTGGCCTTAGTGACGGAATATGGAGGTGCTTCGGGATACAAATTAAATGTAACTAAATCGGACTTGATGCCCCAAATAAGTTCTCAAGAATTTTAGTTTTCAATCTAGATGATTTAAAAGTGTATAGCTCCAGTGGCTTCCTAATATCGGAAGCGCATCTGAAAGCGTGTGATGTGCTGGGGCCAGAGCACAAATAATCATCCCCATGCAACATGGCCACCATGATGCAGTCCCCCATGCAACATGGCTACCATTAAGTCCCCCATACAACACTGCCAACATGAAGTCCCCCATGCAACTTGGCCACCTGGATATCACTCATGCATCATGGCTGCTATGAAATCTTCAATGCATCATGGCCACTGTGATATCCACCATGCAACATGGCCATCGGGATGTTCCACCATTCACCATGGCCCTCTGTGACATCCCTCATTCCTGTTCTTACCTTGCGGTGATTTGATGCAGATGGAGGCGGTGCCCTCTGAGGACAGCGCCCTCCACGTGGTATAAAATTCGCCCTCATTCCTCGCCTCTCCAGATTGGCTCATCTACACACACACAAAGACAAAGGTCCACCACATAGGCTTTAGCAAGATGTGGGGGATAGTGCAAGCGGCGAGCACTGAGCCAGGATCTCTGAGATCCTGGGCTCCACATTCAGGAGGGTCCTGCTGAGATGTCAGTTCTCAGCGTTCGGATATTTGGCCAATGTCAGATGTCACACTTGGATTAACAATGAGACACGTGTGTATTTAAAGGACACACGCAGGTTAATGGCATCCTTCAAACTGTTAAGAGAAGTAGGGCTGGGCCAGGACATGCCACGGCCACGAGGAACAACGATGGCTGATGGTCAAGAACAATAACGGAGGTGCAGCCAAGTATCGGAACACGTCTGAGAGGACGGCTGCTAGAAAGATGGAGCGACAAAATCGGTGCTTGGTGGATTATTCCATCGCAGGATCGTGAGGGGTAGCAGGGTCTCAAGGAAGGAGGCCTTCATCCAGTAGTGGATAGATAAAAGTACAGTAGATTATTAAAACGTAGAAAGGCAGGTACACAGAGAGGATCTTGGGGAGATACTCTGATAGATGCACACACACTCAGGCAGCCAAGCAGATGCACACTTAGGTGTATGGATAGGTGACAGGTAGCCACACGCGGAGTGGAGAGCACACGTCCATTAATACTTCACCACACGAGTCGAAGAGCCACACGTACCTCCATGGTGGCAACTTGCAGAGCAGGGTGCACAGAACTAACAGCGTCTCTCGCGCAGTCCAGGTCTCTGCGTGCGAAGCAGGAGACGAAGCCGAGGATCACATAGAGTCGAGGGGGTGTGACGGCACCCACATCTCAACACGAGTCAAGTCACAATGCGGACTCACACCATGAACCCACATCATCAACACAGACTCACATCATCACCAATCACTCACAACACGAAACACAAAAACAACAACCGACATTCGCCACTTAGTAGCGATGATGTCACCACGGCGCCTTTGCCAGGCCAGGTGCACTTTCAGGCCACACGAAGTGTCGAAGGCTCGCTGACAAGACGTCATGGGACAGACCCAGGTTCCAAAGGTTGGCTGAGATGCTTGGTAGATACACCAGCTGTATGCCCAACTGTGCCAACTTACCGAATTTTATCCGCCACTCGTTGTGAGCGTCACTCCTCTGCCCTCAGTTGTTGTAGGAGGCAGTCTGCCTCCAACTGTCCAGTAGCCTCCTTCACGAGCTTCCTCGTGAAGGATGCTATTTACACCGCTGGTACCAGTCTTTCACAAGTCTACTCAACTCAACATCCTCCCATACAGCATCAGTCCATATTTTCGACAGCCCATGTCGTGGCCGTTTAGCCCCCTTTATGCAGCCAAAAAGAAACTGCTTGGGTATGCGGGCTACAAGACCCAGCCAACGCAGCCTTGCCTGCCGGAGGAGCTTACTGGTGGGAATGTGTCCAGATCCTTCAAGGATCTGTGAGCTCCTCACACAATCCAGCTAGGTTAAACCCAGGATGGCTCGTTGGAACCACCACCGACACCACCACCAACACCACTAACACCATCAACATCACCACCAACAACACCAGTACCACCACCAACAAGAATATCACCATCATCAACACCGTCACCAGCACCACCAACAACATCAACAGCACCACCACCAACAACAGCAAGCAATAGCACCACCATCAACACCACCACCATCAACACCACCAACAACACCACCACCACGAACAACAAAGATAAAGATCCCCCTTATAGCTGAAATAAACTGTTGGGGCAAGTGCTGTTAGCCAGCATCACCTATGAAGGCCGGAAAAGCACACGGGGGCGTGGGTGGCCAACACCGCGCCCGGCCGCCTTTGTCTCCGAGTGGCGATATTTACACACCACACCAGGTACTCATTTGAGGCTGAGTCGACCTAGGGGAGGCCCAGGACCGGTTCATATAATCGTCACTGGTGTTGACCTTGAGCGGGAATCCAATTCTGGGTCACCGGGTTCATAGCGCAGCGCGTTAACCACTCCACACACACACAGACTCGCACACAGATACAAACACACATGGACTCACACAAACACAGACTCACACCACACACACAGACTCGCACCACCGCACCACCCACCCACAGCGAGGATCCACTCCTCCACCTTCGCCAGAGTCTCTCCCCGCCTCTCTCACGGACCAACTGCCAGGGGGGAGCGCGTGGCTCGAGACGAGGGGGCGGTACCAGGTGACCACGCCCACCGAGACGTGGAGCCCCGCCCCCTCACCGAGCCCCCTTCTCGCCCCGCCCCCTCTCCCCCCTCGCCCCGCCCCCTCTCCCCCCTCGCCCCGCCCCCTCTCCCCCTCGCCCCGCCCCCTCGCCCCGCCCCCTCTCCCCCGCCCCTCCCCCCGCCGAGGCCGGGGCGAGTGGAGGCAGCGCTGTGCATTGTGGGTGGCGAGCGGCTGATTCGGATTCCCGCTCGCGGCCACCGTCGCTGCTGAAGCGGCGGCTCGCTGGCTGGTCCTCCTCTACATCGACTCAGCCCGAACAAGGTGAGAACCTTGCACCGTGTGGACACATCAGCAGTGGCGGTGGTGGAGAGGGGAGGCAGAGGAGGCGCCTGGCTCACAGCCGTTACGCTCTGGGCGCCTGCTGAGTTCACGGCGCTGCTCCAAGCAGAGCGCGGCCTGCTGCTGATGATGATGAGGAGAGGCACTGCCAGATTGTGGCTGATGGGATGAGTTACATTTAGTTGTTTTGTATCTGGAGGGACGGAGTTGTTGTCGTGGCAGAAATGGCCTCCACTAGAGGCCGCGATGTGGAGTATTTGGTCTACTCTTCCACGCTGGTCCAGACCCGCTGGAGCGGGGTGGGTGTAGCCACAACTTTACCCTCCACACGCGGGGGGCGTCAGCTCACTGCACTTGCAATGCAGAGGTGCAGGTTCGAGTCCATTTCACACTCACCCCGTAATATATGCTGCCATAGACAAACCCAGCGTTACATTATATACTGTACTAGCAGAAGTACCCGGCTTTGCCCGGGTGAAAAATATATTTCTTAAAAACCTTACATATATATACACAGATACTAAGGTATTGTCAAAGCCCGGTGGGCTGTTTGTACATTTCTCCACCAACAAATATATAAGAGGCTTTCACAAGTCCAAAAAGTTGTAGAAAGTGTGGGGTAAATAGTTGATGTCAAAATGTTTCCGAAAATTGTGGTCTCCCCCCCCCCCCCCCTCAAAAAATATCTTTACCCCTCGTAGGTATATATACTAACAACACCTTACATACAACAGAGGAAGTGGTATCTATTGACTCTGTAGTAGTATCTACTGACTGTACCGTAGTATCTACTGAGCCAGTAGTAGCTACTGACTGTGTAGTAGTATTTAGTGCAGGGGTCCTCAAACTTTTTAAACAGGGGGCCAGTTCACTGTCCCTCAGACCGTTGGAGGGCCGGACTATAGTTAAAAAAAACTATGAACAAATTCCTATGCACACTGCATATATCTTATTTTGAAGTGAAGAAACAAAACGGGAACAAATACAATATTTAAAATGAAGAACAAGTAAAGTTAAATCAACAAACTTGCCAGTATTTCAATGGGAACTATGGGCCTGCTTTTGGCTAATGAGATGGTCAATGTCCGGTTCCATATTTGTCACTGCAAGTCGTAACAAGTGATGCAAGTGTGTATCCGTTAGTCTAGATCTGGTTGGAGATTTCAAATGTTTCATTCTGGTACAAGTCTGTTCACAGACATAAGTGCTGCCAAAGATGGTTGCCATTTTGAGTGCATGGTTCCTGAGATGAGGATATGTCTCAGAGGGGAGAGATGCATAGAAATTATGAAGGCTGCTTGACTTGAATGCGTCTTTCAGAGAGTCACAATTCTGCAGTTCAGCCAGTTCCATTTGG